TCCACCTTAGCTAAACAGAGGGCTTTGTGCCCTAATTAATGAACTTTTAATTAAATTTAATAAAGCATAATTAATTAATGATAATTAATTAATTAATTAAATTTACTTTAATTAAAATTAATTATAATTAATTAGCTTAATTATAATAATTTTACTTAAAATTAAATATACTTAATTATAATAATTAATTAACTAAAATTAATTAAAAACAATTATAATTAAATATATTTATTATAATAAAAATAAATAAAAAAAAGATTTCTAAAACCTCTCTGCATTATGGGATTTGGCCGAAGAAGCGTGCGGTAGGGAGAAAGTTACCTACACAGCCGCGAGCTCCTGTTCTGGTTCCGATCAAAATGTCGGACTTCCGATCGGAGGGGAGGGGAAAGTCGTTAAAGGGAGCGAAGTCGAAGTAGCGATCGAAAGGGAGAAAGTTGTCTTCATAGCCGGCAAGCCCCTGTGCTTGTCTCCGATCAAACTGCCGTAATCCCCGATCCAAAAGGAAGGGACGACGTCGGAGGAAGGAGGTCTGACCAGCAACGACGGAGCCGAAGCAGCGCACGCAAGGGAGAAAGTACCTTCACGGCCGGTGAACTCCTCTTGTAGCTTCCGATCTTACAGGTAGGGAACGTCGTCGAGCAGGCGGGGTCGAGCAGAGGCGCGAGAGGGCGAGGGAACGGGAGCGGAGAGGAGCCAAGCAAACGCGAATGGGAGCCCTCGTGCCCATTTTAACGCCGCAATTGAGTCGTCTGCGCGACGTGGGTAGAAATGACGTCGGTCATGGCTTCGACGTGCGACGAACGGCTCGACGTGGGGAGCGACGTGGGTTGGCATTGAGCAAGTAAGATTTGATTTTGATTTTGATTTTTTTTTTGTTTGCACGGCATAACAGGTCAACAGTAGGCATTTCTAAACAATTAAAATAAATGTGATGTACTGTCTATCTTTCTTAGTGCAATAAAATATGAAAAGAACTAACGTGCAAGTTCACAACTGAATAAAATGTCTAAAACATATGCATTCTTTCATAAAATTTTAAAAAATTAAAACATGAAATTTTCAAAAATACAAGTACTTAACTCAATAAGCAATAGTCAAGCCTCTACGAGCAAAATACGTCATTTAGTCTTGTGTCGTATTTCTTCTCATATAACAAATACTTAAAGTAATGAAAATCTTTATCACTAACTCAATGATCATAATGCATTTCCATTAAATCAATATTTTGATATAAAAATTTTTCATATTTAATTAAATCCTCTTTTTTAAAAATTTATATTTTCGATTAAATTCATAATTTTTCTATTTTAATAATATCCTCTTCCTAAAGTGAATTAAATTTAATTTAATTTTCGGATTTTTCCTTAAACCTAAATTTTGGAAATAATATTTTCACTATTTTCATTCTATAAGCATGCCAAAACTTTTCCTTCACTCAATTAATAATTAGGGTTAATGTATTTTTAGATTTATTTGAATTAAAATTAAGAAAATTAATAAAATTTATATTATAGATTAAAAAAACATAATTTCTTTCATTAAAAACATTCTTAAGACAATTAGGAACGATAATCGTTAAGAAATTTTCTTGAAAATTTAAGAATTTGAAAAACCCTAATTTTTTAAACTCATTAAAAATGCTGGAAAAATTTTATTTTTATGACTAAAATCCTTCCTCATACATTCTCTATTAATCTCCTTGAATAATTTTAGGTTTTAGAAAAACCCTAGAATTTTCTCCTCAATAAATCTATGCGAAAATGTAGAAATTAATTCAGAGGAGAAGATTGACTTGCTAAGGAGAAAGATTGATTGTAATACTTGGAAGAGATGAACAAATCAACTATTCCTAATAATAGCTATTCTATTTTTTTTCCTATCTAATACAAAATCTACTATTTGGTTTCATTATTTTAGATTAAGACATACATCTATTGTTGTCTTAAAAACATGTATACAAAATTTTATGAGTTGAAAAATGAATATTTTCATTGTAAAACTTGTGAGTTAGCCAAGCATGAACGAGTTTATTTCTCAAATAAAAATGAGAGATGTCATACTCAATTCTATCTTATTCATAGTGATACCTAGGAAACCCAAAAAGTTACTAATATCTCAAGTGCTGATTGTTTTTGTCCTTCATTGACGATTGCACTCAAGTCTCTTGGATTTCTCTTCAAAAATAAATTCGGTGTAAGCACTATCTTCCCCATATTTTCATATAATGATCTAGAACCTATTCATGGTAAAAATAAGGAAATTTCATTACAGCAATGCTAAAGATTATTTTAACCAAGCTCCATCATCCTACTTTCAAAAAGAAGGTATCATTTATTAGTCTTCTTGCATACACACACAACAAAATGGAGTTGCGGAAAGAAACATAACCTCCTTTTTATCACCTGTTTGTCATTCCTACTTTGCCATAATATTGTTAAATCCTATTGGGGGAGCCCTTATGACTGCCACATATCTCATAATCCGACTACCTTCATAAACCTTGGAACTAAAAACACCAATGGATATTTTGTCCTCTTTTTAGCCTGAAGTTCGAACCTATAAGAACCTCACACTTAGAATCTTTGGGTGCACTGCCTATGTTCACATTCACAATAAAAATAGAGAAAAATTAGATTCTTTATTGGATATTCATTTACCCATGGAGGTTATAAGTGTTATTATCCCTCCACCAAAAAAACTCTTGTATTTGTTGACGTCACTTTTGACGAACAAAAATCTTATTTTACTAAACCTCATCTTCAGGGGGAGAATAAAATTGAGAAAGATGAGGAAAGTAAAATTAGCCCCTTGTCCTTTTAACTCTACCTCAAATTGTTCCACTTAAACTTGAAACCAAAGTCAGGAAAACTAAGAACAAAGCTATTAGGAATGACATGAGGTTTGGAAAGGTATATTTCATGCATACAAATTTAAACTGTCCCAGAGCACATCCAAGAATTTGAATCGTCTCCTGAAATTGAGGTAAACATAAGATAACCTAAAACATCTCTTGTTACCTCGTAACCAACTGTATATCATTTCATAATTTCTCACATTCACACAAAATGTTTTGATTACACTAAATGATATTTTTATTCGTAATAGTATCTATGAGACCTTATCTGATGAGAATTGGAAAGTGCCGTGAAAAGATGAAATGCAGACCTTATAGAAGAAAAATACTTGGGAGATCATCAACCTACCAATAGGAAAAAATCCAGTCTGCTGTTAATGGGTATTCTCTGTGAAATACAAAGTCGATGGAACACTGAAAATGTACATGGTAAAACTAGTGGAGAAATGGTACACTCAGACGCATAACATTGATTACCAGGAAATATTTGCACTTGAGGCCAAGATGAATAATGTTAGGATTATGCTCTCCCTAGTAGCTGATTATAACTGACATATGAAACAATTGTTTGTCAAAAATGCATTCCTACATAGGGACTATGGGGAAGAAATATTTATGGAGATTCCACCTGGATTTAAGGGTGACAAAGTGTGCAAGTTAAAAAAGGCTCTATATAGGCTAAAATAGTCACATAGAGCTTGGTTTGGAAGATTCTCAAAGGTCATACTACTCAATGAATATCAAAATACCAAGAAGACCACACACTACAACATAGCCAAGGTTCTAGTTTTGCTAGTTTATTTTGATGATATCATCTTGACTAAGAATGATGAAAAGGAGAAACTGATTCTAAGGAAATGTCTCAACAAGGAATTTGAGATCAAAGAATTTGGTAGATTAAAATATTTCCTAGGAATTGAAGTGTTTCGTATGCAGTATCATTTTACATGTACAAGTGATGGAGAAATAATACAAAAGTTACTTCTTTGTTTAATTTTGTTACTGCTGAGCTTCCTTTCCATTTTGGTTTAGTTGTATTGTCTCACAATATAATAGAGGAATGCAATGATTCTTTTCTATTCTGACAGGCAATATTTCTGAATGTTGTTAGTGGTTTTAAGCTGACAGAGACTGCAGGAGATCTTGCAATAGCAGCAGCCATATGCAGCAGGTATATGCTTAATTTTCTTTCTTTGACATTTTTTATCTTGCAATAGCAACAGTTCATTTTTCATGTAAGAACAACAAACAAGTTTTGTTCACCCCAAAAGACAATTTAACGTTCACCCAAAACTTAAAATTTCACAAGAAAAATAGTGGCAAACATAAAATTTTTGCTAGGATCAAGTTCGCACTACAAAAAGGTAAAATCGACATGTATCTTTATAAAAATTTGATTATAAATGCAAAACCTGTTGTTAATAATTTAAAGACAAAGAGTACTCGAAAGGGAAAAAGTAGGCCTTTGGCATGAAGAGTTTCACCCTCGGAAGTTGTTATATGCCCTTCTAAATCACTCGAAGAATATACTTCCAACAACCACTTAAAAGAAAGAAAATTATGAATTTTATTTCAATATTCAATGTACATGCCCCGCGAGTTCTATTTACAATTTACAAAAGATCCAAAATAAGAATATTCTAAATGTTGAAATCTATTAAAAATAACATGTTTCAATTCATCCCTTCTAAAGTCTAGTGGTAGAAATTTATCCATAAAACCAATTCCTGAAGCGCTTTCAGGAACCAAGAAAAAATAGGATTGCTTAAGTGTAAATAGTCCGGCGAAGAAGGGATGGCACATATTGAGATGAGAGATTGTATCGCTGGATTAGGAAATAGCGGAAGTAGGAAAGCAAGGCGATAGATTAGTAGGAAAGCAAAAAAAGTTGTGGAGTCTCGAAGATGATAACAAAACAAAGGTGACAAAAGACAATGGCAGGAATAAAGCTAGCCAGAAATAATAGAGAAATTAACACAACAGAGAATGGTTGTATCATCATATGCATGTATGAAGGAATTATAAGCGAGTATCCATTAAGGAGAATAATAAGAATAGTGGGAATGACAATTATAACCAAAAATTACAATAACAATACCCAATACAATCGGGCGATGGGGAAATAATGATGAGTAGATTTAGCAATTCACATTATTGTGGTGATTTTTGAATTCCGTAAATGCTTATCAGGAATTTGTGGGCTGAGTTGAAACTACATAATAATGATTTAGACTTAATAGAGCATCCAAAATACTGAAGAGCTCATCCCATTTGTATAAGAGTCATCATCATATTTTTACTGTGGAAATGAAGTATAGGAAATAAAAGATTAAGAATCAGCTTACATGAATTACATTCTCAATCAACACAAAATTTCATATTTACATAATTCTACTCGATTTGAAAAAATTTGGCTTCTACAAATTAATTATTAGATGCATGCTTCACAAGTTTGGGCAAACTATTGTCCTCCTGCAAATTAATTCTTGTAGAAGCTTGCCATTTCATGATACAGGAACTCTATAATATCCACCACTTGTAGCGGAGAAAATCTCTGCTTTGGACCAAGATGAATAGATCCATTTGATAAGATGTTGGATTAGCAAAGAGAGAATGTAAAGAAAGTGAAGTCATGGCACGAACTATTGATTCATGAAATAAAGTAAAATAAGATATATTGATGGTAAAATCGATAGCAATACTTCTCACGTTTTTTTAGTTTGTAAGCATTAGTTCTCATGTGTCGTAAAACTTTATGCCCTTAACCTTTTTTGCAATAAATTTCTTTAAGGTCCTCGTAGGAAATCTTTATGCCTTATTTTCTGTGCAAATTTCACATGTTATTTATATCTGCAATAGAATTACAGTTTTCATAATTAAGTATTAATTACTCACGAGTCTCTTCATGCAAATAATTTGAATAAAATAATGAAAAATACTACAATTCCACTATATTTCATTAGGGATCTTAATAATATTTTATAACCTATCTCTATCATTAGATGATAAAGAAAATAAAAAATAAGCAAACTATTAAATTATGCCTTGTTTTAATGAACAGGCAATCCCTTTAAAGGGAGGTACATCAAATGGATTAAATACTAGAGGTGGTGATTTCTAAAGAGTTTTTTAATTTGACTGCCATGAGCCAAAAAATTGGATCTTATATAGTGGCAAGTATTAGTTGTATTTCCATCACTAATAAGAAAAGGTTCTCTTCAACATACTGCATGAGAAGATCTTATCGGTACGATGAAAGTTCTGTCAGACATGTACTAAATTTCTTTGACCGTGAACAAGGTAAATCTAATTATAACATTTTTAAATCTCAATATAGTCGAAGACAAGATTAGAGAGAGTCGACTTAGATGGTTTGGCCATATTAAATGGAGGCCTTACAATGACCCGTCTAGGAAATTTGAGGTATTAGATTTGACTTATGTTAAGAAATATAGAGGTAGACGTAAAAAGACTTGGTTAGAAAATATTAGAAATGATCTTTCTTTATTAGATTAAAATGAGAATTTGACTTTTAACCAGACGCAATGGCGAAAAAGAATTCATGTAGCCGACCCCACGTAGTGGGACAAAGGCTTGATGTTGTTGTTGTTGTTGTTGTAATATAGTCGAAGAGAATTTCACAACATTGTTTATCAGCGAGCCTAATATGATAGCAAGTTAATTGAGCTTGATTGATATCAACTTCAATGATGAATTTGATGCTTTAAACTTGTTATCATCAGTACTAGAAATTTGAACTAGATTTGTGACGGCTCCAAGATATTCATGTGGGTATATGAAGTTGAAGTCGAGTGTTTTTTTGACGTTTTTAAGTAAAGACACCACGAGACGAGAATCATGAGAGCAGAGGAAGAAGTGTACAAAGAGACAACAATGGATATTGATTTGAATCTCAACTGAGGGTAAATTAAATGGTCACGATGATGTATGTTGGCGATCAACATGAGAAGGGATTTGCTATAGAGAAATGATGGAGAAGTTTGAGTTTGATGGAGAATTCTAAATGTTGCAAATGAAGCAGTTTATGATGCACTGGTCATTATTTTGTATAGTTCTACAAAGTCCCAGATCTTTGACTCATTGCATCTTTTCATTAATTCCTCATAAAAGTTTATATCTAATTATTCCATATGAGATTGTGGGAAAGTTCATCTGAATGTTGTGGTAGCTGGTGATGTGCAAATCATGATTGGTGATGAGACGTTTCTTTTAAGTGGTGGCTTCCAAAGTTCAAATGGCATGGTAGGGCAGCTTCTCATGATGGAGCAGCAATGTAACAAGGCAAAGCTGATGGTAAATTATAATAGATTCATCACTAATGGATTGAGATACTACAAAATGTCAGGTAATCCCTTATGAATGATTTGATATGATACTACACAAATGACTCTCTCCAGACATTATATTGAATTTCACTTTTAAGTGGGAGATTATGGAGATAGACTTGTCAATCTAGATTAAAAATTCAAAACTTACTAGATGGATATTTTTCTATTTTTTTATTGTGTTTGTATGCATTCCTGAGAATTCTATCTAATCTCTATAAATATTTACTTACCACCTGATGTTGTCTACCTAAATTTTCTACAAGTTAGCTTTTCATCTCTATTTCTTCTACAAGTTAACTCATATTTCTTCATTCAACCAAGTGTAGAGACTAATATTAATTGTTATCTAGAGGGGGGTTCTTAATAACCATTAATGGGCTGAAGATGGCAGAAGCCAGTGTCCTCAAGTGAAATTAGACAATTGTCACATTATTTGGTCACATGAGTTGTTAACTGACAATTTGTTCCGACATAGAGGCAACCAGCTTTGATTGGCCTTCCTTTATCTACAGTGAGCATAGTTGATGGATGAATCATGCTTGGGTTTGGAGAGAATAAAAGAATGCAGAATAGGCATGCAAGAAAAGTGGAGAAAAAAATTTTTGGTTAAATATTTTCAGATTTTTGTCAACAAGAGCAACAAGCCTTTATCCCACTATATGGGGTCGGCTACATAGAATCATTTTTCTACATCGTGCTCTGCTAAAAATTTAATTCTCATTTAAATCTAAAATAGAAAGTTGATTTCTATTTGAATGATGGACAATTGAAAATTTTGTTTTCATTAAAACAAAATATATTGTTTTCCCTAATTGATTCAAGCACTAAAGAATAGAGCATCTAACATTGTTCTTGGACCCTAAACTTGCGCAAATAACTTGTCTTATAAATTTTATTTCTTGCTTTTCAGCTTCTTGGAATTTCCCATTCCTCACGACGTTACATTCATTGGGGAGGTTGGTCTTGGTGGCGAGCTTCGCATGGTTAGCAAATCTCTCTTTTTTCTATTTCTCTCTATATTATTTCTTGGAATTCAGATGAAGAGGAAGATCTGTTCCCAGTGATCAACTAATCTGGACCATCAAAACTTCTTTTTTTTTTTTTGTTCTGTTTTGTTAAGGTTCCCAGGATGGATAAGCGAGTAACTGCTGCTGCAAAACTGGGATTCAAGAGGTGTATAGTTCCAAAAGCAGCAGAGAACAATCTCTCTTCACTTGATCTGAACATAAAAATTCTCGGATGCAGGACTTTGAAAGATGTGATCAACACAGTATTTAGTACTCACTAATGTTCCTCATCAAATATAGTTTATTTTTGTCCATTCTGGAGATGATTTGACCTTCATGCAATCTTATCAAGAAGAATTCCTTACCATTGAAATCCTGTAAATCATCTCGTATAGAAACTTGTTTTGTAATGACTATAAAGATCGGTTTGAACTATATGTGATTTATAATGTTTTTTTTTTTTTTTTCTGGGAGGGCTATTTAAGTTTTTTTTCTTTCAGATGCAATTTTAAACTATTTATTAAGCCTATAATCAATTGATTTTTTAGCTAATTATCATATAATTTGATGGAATATTTAACAATTTTATGACAATGAGTAGAATACTGTAAAAATCTATAAATAAATATTGTTTATATACATTCATAAGAAAAATTTTAATGAACTATCAAGGTATCTTGTTCCCTTCACTTGAGAGGTTACTGATTGCTTCTGGTCCTGAAGAATTGAATTTATTCACTGCAGGTTTTCTACTGCCCAATCTCTTAGGGTTTGTGAGAAGAAAATTTTTCTTTGAAGGTGGATGAGGATATTATAAATATTAAAAAAAATAAAGAGGATAATAGTTTTCTTACTGCTTTTTTTTTTTTTGTCTTATCATGTAAATTAAAAAAAAAAAAGTAGCAAGATAGTATTAGGTAAAAAGAAACAATGCGGCTCGTGTTGAGGCACGATGGTTGAGGGCATTCATGTCTCCTGCGTCTTGTTTGAATTGTTTAAGTAGCTCAAAAAAAAAAAAAGAGTGATTTTAAAAGTAAAATAGTTAGAAAGATATCTCAAATATCTCTATCAGTCAAATCCTTAGTGGTATTTTTTATGTGATTTATATTTTTTAAATTAACAGATCATATTAAAGGTGTATTTAGTGTAATTTTTTTACTATTTTGTTTTGAGATTGTGATTATAATTTTCATCTGATTTTTTTTAAAATTTTTATATTACAAATTGTTTTAAACTTTGTTTATTTAAAAAAAAAAACTTTTTTTCACAATAATATTATAATTTCTTTTTATAAAAAAATTACAGTAAATTTAAATAGATTTTAAGTGTATTAAGCTATTGATGATTCATATATTGAGATGTTTTCAGTAATGTTCCAAACAACATGGCTATGATGGTTTGTGGAAAGTGGAAAAATAAGGTCTCTTTTAGATGTTTTCTTACTATTTAAAGCAGTATTTTGATATAAAATTTTTAATTCAAGAAAATTTTATTTGAAATTTTATGGGAAAAAATCTTTTACGAAGTAATAAGAAAGCTTTGCGAAATTTGGAATCAAGCAATCTTAGCTAGACTCATTGGATTTGTCTTGATGAAACACTCGATTATGAGTATAAGAATATAACATTTGAAGATTGTTTGGTCACATTGAGAATAAATCAAACGACTTTGAATTGATCTTATGCTAAAGTCAAATAAGTTCGAGATCATATCAATAAGAATCTTCTTTATATTCAACCAAAAATATCCCATCCAATCAAATGATGAAATTTAGCTTAATAAAATACTTTGTGTGAAATTTTAAGCTTGTTTTTTAGAATCATTTATTTGTCTTGAATTGGTTTGGATGTTTCTTTGATAAATTATATAAATAGTTTTTAGTTTCAAACCAATTTACTTATAAATTTATTATAACATTGACTTTTTATGAGAAAAGATAGATAAACATACCAATCTAAATTTTTTCAGCAATTAATTTCACCTTAATTTGATATGGGTTTTAAATGTCAATGGCGATTTTCTTATGGTTGGGTCAAGCTATTCTGATTTAAATTTGATAAATTAATATATTTTATTATCAAATTTATTTTGAGATAAATATAATAATGATTTTAAGTTATTAATTATATATTTTTATTTAAGGGTGTAAGTGTGGAATCCCTTAAGAAAATAAAGATGAACTTTTAAATATGAATACATCTTTTAAGTATAACCATTATAATTTTAGTAGAAACATCAAAGTTAAATATGCTCGTATGGGAGCACTACTATAATGTGTGACCTCTTAAGAAGCTACATCAAAGGGATAAAACTGTGAGCTTATTAGGGGCAAAATGTACAACATCTTGATAATTAAGAGTTTCAACCATTACAAATAGTTTCAGAGCAATACATCAACTAGAAGATGTGAACTAAATACTTCTATCTGCCATGATGCCCCTTTCGAAGTAACCGCTACAATTTCATTAGAAATTTTAAAGTTAAACGTGCTCATATAGTCATATGAGAGCACTCCTAAGATGGATGATCTCCTTGAAGTTGCACAAAAGGGTCAAATTTGTGAGGCTATTAGGTTAAAGCATACAATTTCTTGATTGTTGAGAGCTTGGACAGTTACAATTAGTGAGTCAAACCAACTCATGAGCTAGCTCGAGATCGAATCGATAAATGGCTCATGAGATAGGTTTGATGAGCTAAGAAGTCAAGCTCGAGCCAGCCTCGACTAGAATTGTTAGCTCGCGAACAGCTTATTTAAAATATATTAATCTTAAATACACATAAAATATATTATCATTCATGAGGTTAAATATAAAGTTGTTAAAAATATAAAAATATTATGTCTCACTTTCATATTTCAAGTTAATATTTATAATTTCACTTCTAATTTCTATTATTTTACAATTTTATTATAATGATTCCTTGAATTTTAATCATTTTCTCTTTCATAATAAATGAGACAACTTCTTAGCCGACACAGTATCATAAAATTAAACTTGAGCTTTAGCTCAAATTCGATTAATTAATCAAAATCAAGTTCTAGCTCAACTGCTCAAGCCAACGAGGACTCAAGTTCAGTTCGACTCACTCACCCCCTTATTTATATCAACTTAAAATAAATTTAATAACTACAAAACTCATTTTGGTGAAAATGATATTAGAGAGAATAATGCTTACCACTATCACTCTTCCAATTTAGTACCTAAATATTTCTTTAATTGCATAACGTACATATTAATGTGGAAGACCAAAATTTGTTCTTCTCTATTGCCAATAACCAGAAATTTAATTCCTATGGGAAAGAAAGTCATTAAAGAATATGGCTTTGCATTAAAACTTTAATTAATGAAAACCATCGGTACAATAAATGAATAAAATGCCTTGATTTCACGAATTAGTCTCCAATTGATCATCTTATTCAATCAATAGATGACTTTTCTCCTCATAAAGTCCTGGGAATTTTAAATTATTATTAATAATTATAAATATATTTAGGATGGAGTTTGGATCCATTAGATCTGCTTTAAGATTAGTATAAGATTACATATCTATATATTGTACTAATTTTAAAGCACATATAAAGATTTTTAAGCTTTTCTAATTGAAATTTCGGTCATAAGATTTCTTTTTTAATTTAATTTTAAATTCCAAACAAAGAATTAATGATTTTTTTAAAAAAAATAAATTTATTTTAAAATTAATATAATTCCTTGCTTTCACTGCTAACGTTGTTGCAAGTCATCGTTTTATAAAAAAACGGATGTATGTTGTTGATGCCAACATCAATGTTGACTTTGTTGTTTATTATATGCATCAATGTTGATACACATCATTATCTGTATGGTTGATGCATATTGTTGATGTCCACTTTAACCCCCAACGTAAAGATCAATAGTTAGACAATATTTCTTGGTTTCTAGGTATATCTCTTCAAAGGAGGACAACTGAATACGTCTTAATCCATTTTTTGAAGATTGAAACAATATCTCTTAAGGCTCGTCAAATGTTCAGCTTGGAATTCATTCTCTGTAGTTCATATTTAATGTCTTGTATCTATAACATTCTTAATTGCATAAAAGGATATCATTTATAATCGACGACAAATACTTGTGGAATCATTTCAATTGCGTAAGATCATATTGTTTTCCCTTTCTGAAATTTTCATGAAAAAATATTGGAGTTTCTTATAACTCTTTTTTTATGTATATATATGTACATGATCTTCATATAAAATTAAAATGTTTAACCTTTTTTTTTTTATTATTGACTTAAAAATTAACCACACAACAACTAGAGTAAAGATGAATATTAATTGCTTTAGATTTTTTTATGTCATACGCACAATAAATTATGTAGATTGTGAAGGGGACAGATTTTTTTATGTAAATAATCCTAGAAGTGAAAAAGAAACTTTATAAGGAATTACCTTTTTAAAAATAGTTTAGCTATATGCAATATTATTATAAATAACCTTCAAGTGCTTGTTAATAAACTAAAATATTAAAAAACTTTAAGAAAATAGAAATTAACTACTATGTTGAATATAAAAAAAGTTTCATAGCTGCACTATGAACCATTGGGAAAATGAAATTATCAAAATATTAATATTATATATATCAAATTACCTGAAATGTTTTAAATAAAACAAATAATAAAATTTAATATTAATTTTTTATGATTAATAATTGAAAATAAAATAGCATGAAAATAAAAGATAGTAACTTTAAATGAGTTCAAATATTATATACATGAAATCAAATAGCATTAAAATAATATATTATATATTTAAAATATGTACTTTTTGTTAATTAATAAAAAACTGTTAATGATAATCAAAATAGTTTAATATTTTTTAGAAAATAATTTAAAAAAAAAAAAGTTTGAATCATTTTTTTTTTTAGTTAAAACCCTCAAAGGGGCCTACGTGTTAATTTCCAAAAAAAACGGTTACAGAATCCTTAGAGGGAACCTCCAGCTCTCTACCGCTCGAATGAGCTACAAGCAAAAAGTGAAAAATAAAACCTACGAGCCAGTGGTTCCCTTTCCTAAGATTACAAAAAGAACATAAAACAGTAATTGGGCTGTGAGCAAACAGCACCCAAAAAAGGAAGAGCTTAATGTCTTCGTTCAGCTTCCTCTTCCTGCAAAATAGAAAGAGCAGGAAAAAACAAAAACCTACCAAAAAAACCTTGCAGCCAAGTAAGCACATAAGGATTAAAGTGTACCTGCAAGACAATCTCCAAAAAACAGAATCAAAATCATAGTAAATGAAACTAAAACCAAAAATGACGTTAACAGCTCTCTTAAAAGAAAGATAAAACCTGATTTCCATATTTCTCCAGAACAACAAACAAAAGATGTGCTGATGGTTCACCTTTCTCCAATCAACCAAATTATAGCAGTAGAAGAAAAAATTCAAAACAGCAAAACATCTCTCA